AAATCACATCTCTTTCAGTGCACATGTGGCTCCAACACAACACTGTGAATGTCTATCTAATATGTACATAACATTCATAAGTTATGCTTTGTGGCTAAGAAGCTATGACATTCATAATTAAAAAAAACTGATTTGGATCCGCTGGCGATCCATTCACAACATGAAATTGAATAAAATCAGTGCTTAGATGTAAAATGTTAGTAAATCAGTGTTTAGTAGTGAAATGTTAATAAACCAGTGATTAGAAGTGAAATATTAGTAAATCAGTGATTAAGAGTGAAAGGTTACAGTTGGCAATGAAAAAATAGTTGTAGTAAAAAATTAATTACACTTTTTAAGAAAACTATGAGCGCTAGTAGTATCCTGTGGAACCAGTCAATATCTAATAAATCCTGGAGATGAGCAATTGAATCCCATGAAGAAACATATGTGATAACGATCAGTAGACAGCTCTATTTTCATTAAAACGAAATCAACAGACCTTGATCTTCTCAGTAAAGAAAGCCAAATAAATTCCAATAGACCAACTTGATCTAGAACATATATAAACGTTTCTTCAGGGGAAATTGTAATAATTATTAGTATTTTGTTAAATAATAACCAATGAGTTTCTTCTATCCTAATTGGTATTTTACTGCTAGTATCTGTTTTCCTTAGATTTAATTTCAAAATAGTACAAATAGTTTGATTGTATTTTTGAAATTACTTACTGTATATTTCCTACTTTATTTGCACTAAAAATTATAACTTGTTTTCAGACTTCAATGAATATTAATTAAACGTTTTCTGAAACGTCAATATATATAAATATTTCCCTCTATACCACAGTGTTTGTTTTCATTACTGGACTTCATTCTCCTCCTTCTCAGTCAATCTATTCCTAAGACGTGTTTCAAGCCCCCAGAGGCACAGCGGCATGTCTGCGGACTTAAAACGCTAGAAACCGGGTTTCGATACCCGTGGTGTGCAGAGCACAGATAGCCCATTGTGTAACTTTGTGCTTAATTCTAAACAAACAAACAAGACTTGTTTCAATTTAGATTTTTGCTTTTTTAAGCGTCATAAAGCAGAACGCGCACATATTAAACTTAATGAATTCTTAGAACTCGGCTCCAATGTGCATACTCTCATCGTCTCGTTTCCTAGATTCACAAGCAAAATGATAATAAATAAAGTTTGGTAGGAAACAGATGATGAAACTTGATGCCAAGGTATGCCGATTTGAGAAGCTCTGATTTCTTCATATGTTTCTTTCGGATAAAATACTTTCATGAAAATAAACTTAATACACTTTGCACAACATTTTTCAAACACTATTATATTAAATTATGAAAACAAATACCACAAGGGAATCTTTGAACCTTCCATGAATACTCTGTTAAGTATGATAAGTCTGGAGCAGTCGACACGAGTTCCAAAAGCATTGTTCTCACTCTTTTTTGCTCTATTACTGAATTTCATGAAAAAATTCTAACCGCTATTACTTTGACTTACTCCACGTTAGAAATTATTATCACATGGTAGGAAAACCTTATTTATATACGTAGAAGTAATATGAAATAAAATTAAAAAACAATTCACATTGAAACACCCGTTTCATTATTTTAGTTACTGTCATTTATAAGAAAACGCAGAGTTGTGGCTTTATATCGATAACAAGTACCCATATTATATATTCCCATCAAACTAAGTCAAATTAATCATCCTTATTTTGGTATTATTTACCCAGATAGGTAAAGAGCCATGTCCCAATGGTTAGGGTTGCTGTCTCCACTTGGATTTTTTAACATTTGATACATACAGAACCGTTGAAGAAAGCAGTATCGTTCATTACTGCATACTTGGAAATCTTGCTGTAAAAATGGATGAAAAAAAATCTATTCAGTGAGATTTTCAAATATGAAAAATCAAACGAAACGTTATTTTTTCGCCTCTTAAATATACCAAATCATAAGTTTGACACAAAACGTATAGATGGCGGGAGTACCTTAAAAACCTACAACTTTGCCAATCGGAACAAATGTATGAAGATGAGCTGTAAGATGACCTTAAGAAACAGTAAGGTTACATCCAATGTTCATGGTCCGGTATGACCAAGTGATTAGGGTTCTTGGCTCACAATCTGAGTTCGAATCTCCAAACATGCTCGCCTTTTCAGCCGTGAAGGCGTTATAATGTGACAGTAAATCCCACTATTCACTGGTAAAAATGGTCCGGAGGTGGCGGTGGATGTTGATGACTAGCTGTCTTCCCTATAGTATTTCACTGCTAAATTAGGAATGGTTAACGCAGATAGCCCTCGTGTAGTTTTACGCAAAATTCAAAACAAATACATCCAATGTTCAAATATTTCATCCGTTCATTTCAACAACAGACAAGGAACGACAGCAGCACAAAATACAACTGTTACCTGTAACGTGCAGTGTAAGACATTAGTTTTATTCAAATGTTGACACTGGGTAGTTGTAGCAACCTTAAGCATCGAACTCATAATTTTAACAGCAATTCCTAATGAACTCACACGATAAGCAGAATATATTTAATTGTTTGTTTTTTCTTTAAACGTGTTCCGCGTATATTTTTATACATCTGTACTAACTGGCAAAACGTAATTTTTAGGGCCTTCCAACCGTCTGTACATTTAAAACCAAACTTACAATGCTCTAGTGATTTACTAGGCATATTGGAGGAAAGTCTGATAATATGAGTACATTAAATTCATTTACTAGGAAATTTAAGTATTCAAAAGTAAGAAAAAAAATAAAATTTACTCGTTTTGAGTGTTATTCACCATATGTGAACGAAAGTCCATGAAATGATTTACTTTCTACTGTGTCTTATTATTGACTAGAATCCTAGGTTCATTCTGTTTAGTTTCTATTTGTGCAAGAACTACAACATTATTGTTATTCTGTTTTGTTTTGTTTTTCTACGTAACGCAAGGTTTTTCGTTAATAAGATTCTATCCAATTACAGGAAGTTCTTACTTACTGGAAGTTCCTTCATGATGTTCAGGTGAACCAAAGTAATATGAAGTTCACTGTCAAGGAATGGTTGGCAGAACAGAGCTTCTAGCTTTAAAATACAAATAAAACAATTAATTATATTAGTCACAATACATTAGGCCTATTACATTTCTTAACACTAGATTATTTATTCCCTCTCTTAGGGTTTTTAAAAAGAAGAAGAATGTATAATCTGGTAAGTGACAGCACTGCCTAGATTGGGGTGGCCCGGTTTGTTCATCAAAATTGTATTTAAAAAAAACTCCTCAATAGGTCATCAGAACTTTATAATACTGTTACGACAGCGGAAGTCACGCGACGCTGGGAGCATGCTCGCTGGAGTTTCTCGTAGGATCATGAACTTTCCTGGCAACTCTAGTTTGTTCGAAGCGCCCTCTTTTTTTAGTATATAAGCCTGCCGAGAAAAACCAGCGCGATTGCAGAGGCATATATAGATAGAGAATGAGATAGATAATTGAGTCATGCGAACGGTAGTAACGGTAATAAAAAGTGTGTGTTTTGTTATCGAGATTGCAAACGTATTGACTGTGGAAATCATGTGTATTAGAAATTGGATCGAGAAAGAATAAACTAGTTTTATTTAAGAAAGGACTTGTATCGCTGAAGTTCCACGGAAATAATTTATACCGGAAATTAACAAACGAGCAGATACGTAATAACACTATACAGTGTTTCATTTTATAACAATATCCAATGTGATGACTGAGTCACTGGTTTTGGCAATGTCTGTAAATATCACGGGAAAAGTTTGAGTTTCTTGTTCTTCTTTCTTTTGCTTCTTTTTTATTACGTGATAACTCAAAAATCAAAACAATGGTGGCAACCAGTTTTACTGAGGTGAAATAGTTTCAAACGGAATATCCGCTTTTATAAGTATTTTTAACTAGTAGTGTAAACGATGTTATCATTACCCCTTCTAGTCAGCTTTCTTTCAGACATGTAGTGTTCCTTTAAAAAGCTTAAATACAGAGCGAAACAGGAATTACCAGTCAATAATAGATGAACAACAAACATTACAGTTGGAACCTCATTGTATTTAGAACTTGGTTATAAATACAACTTTCCTATGTTTATTGGAACACTGCATTAAAAATATAACAAACAAATAAAGAAAAAATGTTTCAATAAGGAAGTAAATGTAGGGATGGCTAATATCAATCCTTCAAAAACAATGTAAACAAGATAGTATGGATGGTGGCGATTAGCCTTAGTGGCTATGCCTTAAAGAAGGTAAAAGATGAGCAAGTACTTCATAGTATGGTAGCATGCATAAGTATTTGTATATATATATGTATAGAAAACAAAACCAGAATCTTTTACTCGTGTGTAGAGAGAAACAAGAACCTCCTGCAAATGCTTTAAATGGTAGATTATAACTTGGTGGCTCTTTCAGTACAAATCCGTTTCCGTATTTAAAAAGTGAAATTATAATTTATTCTGCAGTTCAAACACTTTTTACCTATCCTTAAAGTAAGCGTGTGCATTGAGAAAGCTGTGATTGACAGTTCTCAAACAAATTACAAAAACAAGTTTTAAAAATAACCAACTTATTTAAGACTATTATAATAAAACTGTTACGAACGCTCTTACATCATCTTGGACTGTTACGTTTACTCCTAGAAGTTCACCATCTAAAATATAACTTGCTAGAAATATTACTGTTACGTTTACTCCTAGAAGTTCACCATCTAAAATAAAACTTGCTAGAAAAATTACTGTTACGTTTACTCCTAGAAGTTCACCATCTAAAATAAAACTGGCAAGGTTTACTCTAGGAGTCTACCATTTAAGAAACTTGACCAGAAAGGTTACTGCCACGTCTACTCCTAGGAGTCCCATATGAAAAAGGTTTTCAAGAAAGGTTAATTCACGTTTACTCCTAGAAGTCCACAATTTAAAATAACTTGGCTTTTCGTATACCTCTAGGTTCTGTATGCTTCTTATTTTAACAGAAACAGAATATTTATATTGTTAAATATTTCATATAGAATGTCTTACTTGTGAGCTATTTCATGCACAACACTATAGCTCGCTGCTAGACCAGCCGAAAAGTATGGTTTTCCAAATGAATTGGTTGCACCTAGTTCGCAGATGACACAGTTTCGGTTTATTGTACACATTCCATTTATAGGAGCTAAGCCTACATTGCGTAAAACATAACAGATATTAGTCATTCTTCACTTAAAGTTACTAATATGTCAAATAAACTTAAAATTTAACATAAAACCGTAATTACAGAAGGCTTTCACTTCTTCATTCTCTTCAGAAAATAAATGTATATTTCTTCTCGTCTTTACAAACAAAAAGTATAGGCATATTTTGGAAAGATTCAGAATTCATTTATCTTTAAATGCTAAATTATTTCTAACATTCTATTTATTAGAAGATATGACTAGATCACACCTAAGATTATGAATGAAAAAATTATCAGATTAAAACTACAATTCTACATCATATGAACAGGAAGATATGAATGATTTATGTATCAGATATAATGGAAAATATGATTGTTTCGATGTATTGCCTCATAACGCATAAACGGGAAGGAATGATCAGATCAATGTACTACATCCATAACGTGTGGATATAGGAAGGTATAAGGTGATCGATGTATTACGCCATAACATGTAGATAAGAAAGTATGATTGGATCAACATATCCCCTCATAACGTGTGAGCAGGAAGAATCGATTGGATCGATGTATATCACCCCCAAACATACGGATTGGAAGTTATGATTGGATAAATGTACCACACCATACACTGTGCAGTAGAAAAAATAACTGTCTCGATGTATCACCCCGTAATAAACGAACAAAAAATACGATTTGATAAATGTATCACACTATAAAGAGTGAACGAGAAGATACACACTTGGATCGATGTTGCACCCTATAATATGTGAATAGAAAGGTATGATTCGATCGATTTGTTAGCCTATATTGTTTAAATGGCAAAGAATGATCCGATCGATGCGTCACACCAGAACGTGTGTTTGGGAAGGAATGGCTAGATCGATATATCACCTTAGCCATGTGAACAAGAAGGTATGATTAGGTCAATATATCATCTCTTAACGTACTAATGAAAAGATGAGATGGAAATGAAGTAACTCTTCATAACATGCGAATGATTGTGTTACCTCATAATGTGTGAACAAGAAAGTATTGTTGTAAGCTATATTTATGAAGTAATTTGTTTGTTTGCTATAGGGAGCTGAAGGTCGTAATGATCACGCTAATATCAAGTTTAATAATGTTGGCCTGGCAAGTTCTTAAAAAGTTGATGTTGGGTTTTCTAGTAAATTTGATGTTATATTATAAAGATGAGGTTTAATGAAGCTTCCTACCCATAAAAGTAATTTCTAACTTTTGCAGAAACTTTATTTCCTTCTACTATTCACATCATCCTTCTTCTTTCTTCATAATTGGAAGCAGTTGCCCACCTTATCTTCCCGAATTATTGCAGCTGTAGAAACAGGTCGATCAACATACTTCAAGTCGACCCATCAATAAACCTGTTGGTCCTGGAATGACTTCTTTAAACTATGAACTATTTATTTCATTTGTGGCAGATGGAATATTTTCAGCTAACTTTGTCCCATAACTAAAGCAGATTCCTGTTAACCATTGTTTTACTAGCCGTTGTTACCTCGATCTGGTTGGGCTTGAAGGCGCATTCTTGGGTTAGTGTCTCAATAAGTGTTAATTTTTTACTGTACTGGCTGCGATATCCAGGTTAGCTAATTCTATAACAATTCCCTCTTTCTGCTATCTTTTGAGAGGAGTTCTTATTCGATACTTGAAACTTTTATTGTATTGCGGATTGTTCTCTTCATTCTCTATAATTAGTTGCTTAACCGATCATTTTAGTTTTTCAAGACTATCGTCTGTGTATTAGCCAATATGATGATCCCATAATTTCAAGATTATGTCTTATCTCCGATCTAAATAGATTGTAGTTCCATCGCCAACTGCTAAACTTACTTTAAAGATGTACACCTACTTTGCTTCAGCCCAATTTTCATATCCTTGTATGTTATGAAATATATAAATTGGTGATGTGCCAACATACCTCTCATTGCGCGATAACAGGGAAAACCTTTCCAAGTTTTTTACAAGTTCGGTTAAGGTCTCTTATTTCTTCAATACCTTGTTCTGGTACTATACTCTGGGGCCCCCCAGTGGCACAGCGGTATGTCTGCGGACTTACAACGCTAGAATCCGGGTTTCGATACCCGTGGTGGGCAGAGCATAGATAGCCCATTGTGTAGCTTTGTGCTTAATTACAAACAAACAAACAAACTATACTCTGGATACTTCTTTCTGGTTTGATACTCTAAATCTGTAGGATAAGATATGGTGCTTAATAGTTGTTATGGCTCCCAGACATAAGGTTACATAAAGTTATCAAAGCTGGTCCTTTTAATTGGGTATTAAAATGGGTGACTTGTTTTTCACTGTTTCACCCGTTCGTTCTGGAAATGATTTCAAGTTGAGTCTGGAATGAAATTCGGAGGTATGTTCCTATTATAGTCCATTGGTTTTGGCTAAATTCTAGAACTGATGTCGTGGATGGAGTAGTCTAGGAAGTTCCTTAAGTTACAGGAGGTACAGCAGTAGAGATAATAGATGTAGACCAAATAATTTCCATATTTTGCAGTAGTAGGTGTTTCAGGTTGAAAGTCATAAGCCAATACGAAAAGAGATGTGGCTGGCTTAATATTTGCATTTAATAATTTATTTTTCAGATGTTTTATTATGTCATCAGTGTTCTTTTTTACTCCAATGGGGTCTTTTTTTACAACATCTTTGACTTTGTCTCCTTTTGTACTTTGCTTTTGACTTCATTGTTGTTCTTCGATCTTATTGTTGAAATCTCTCTATACATCTCCATTAGCTTTCTTGTCCTCAATTAGATCTTTTTTATTCTAATTCTTCTTTAAATAGTACGTCTCTTTCTTTTAACTCTTCTCTTAAATTCCCGTCACTTTCTAATTTTCTGTCCCTTTCTTACTCGTCTTATCTTATTATTTTTTAAATTTTCTACCTCTTTCTTATTGGTCCTCTTTTAATTTTCTGTACATTTCTTCGTAGTGTTCAGTTAATTTTCTGTCTCGTTCTTCCGGATTTAGTCCTAATAAATTCATCATCACAAATAATACTTCACTCTTACTCTATGACCTTGTTCTTACCATTTTCAACAGTTAAAGTTCATCAAGTATACTCAAAGTTATATTTTATGTTCATCAAAATAATCCTACTTTTGACTTCAGTGTTACAAGATTGTTCTTTCGTTCGCGGTTTTTTTTTTTTTGACGATGTGGTGAAAATAATTCAAAGTCCAGTCTACTTAAAAAGCTAAAAAATGAGTTTGTTTCTTCATTAACGTTTTTACAGGCTTGAGTTATTTACAACTTGTAGGCCATGTTTACTAACTGCACTACACTAAAAAGAATAAACTAACTTATACCACTTCACAGCTGAAATGAAAATACACTATCCGATTAAATATGTCAGCTTGAAGTAAGTCTAATGTCTTTTTGATTCTGCATTAAACCTCGAATTTAGATTGTTTCCTCAAATTTGCTAGAAAATCTGACGTCAAAATTTGTAGAACTTTCTAGGTCTACATTATAAGACTTTTCGACCTTGGTGTGATCATTACGACACACAGGTTTCTCTAGCAAACAAACAAATTATAACAATAAAAAATAAAGCTTACAACAGTATGACTGGATTGATGTATCACCCTGTAGCGTATGAATATAAAAGTATGATTAAATCAAAATGTTATCCCACAACGTCATAACATATTAAAGTATTAATACGAGTTTTACTCTCTTACCTATAGTCACGTATGTTTTCTTTCCCCATTGATTTGTATGATAGAAATCTCGACTGAAAAAACAACATATTCATTGTATTAATAATTTTTCTAGCAAGTTTTATTTTAGATGGTGAACTTCTAGGAGTAAACGTAACTGTAATTTTTCTAGCAAGTTTTATTTTAGATGGTGAACTTCTAGGAGTAAACATAACAGTAATATTTCTAGCAAGTTTTATTTTAGATGGTGAACTTCTAGGAGTAAACATAAC